CTTCGAGCGGTTTGACGTGCAACACGGAACACTACATACCTTTCGTGCTTTCACAATAATAGTCTTAGTAGTATAACATCAGTATGATTGATTGATTGATTGATTGATTGCCCATCTTGATATACACCGACCGCCCAAAAGACCCAGTGTGAGACAAAACAAATCGTTGTCAAACATCTCTGAATGCGAATGCGGGACAACCTGCAAGAACCTGGTAGCCTCTTGCAGCCACTCAATACCCACCCAAAATCGTGCTCAAAACACACAAACAATGCCCGACTGTCTTACATTCGAACCAAGCCCTACACCCACCTCATCGTTACCAAGAGTCCGGGGAGCCTCGCAAGCAAGTTCCAAAAGGCTTGACAAACAGTTCCTCCCATACGGCCGGACGCCGGACTAGTGGCCTCGTCAAAGGAAACACTGTTTCACACTGCAGAAACTCCACCGTGGCTAAGTCCAAATCCCCACGAAAACTCCCTTTCCTTTCTGGCAAAAGTCCAAGGCACTGCGAGAAATCCATTGCCCAAGACCACCGCCACGAGCGCCTCCGTGGCACTCATCCGATGTCCCAACTGAGCGCCGACCACGACCACCACGACGCAGCCACCCTGCGCGACCTGCTCAATGGCCATGGAGAACCAACCTGTGGCGAGAAGTGGTCTTTCCGTTGGCCCCACCAGACGTCCGGTCCCGTGGGTTTTTGCTTCTGCCTACGAACGATCGGCGAAAACGGAGACGCGGTGCAGAATTTTTTTGGGAAAAGTCAGGAACGGGTGCAGCGCTTTTCCCGAAGCACCTGCGAAAGGGTTTTCCTCAACAAACGGCTGTCAATTTCAACCGACCAAGCAACAGCATCATCATCATCAGCAGCAGCACAGCCATCGCCATCACATTAGTCATCACCATCATCATGCAGGTGTAGAGATGCAGGTGTTACAAATTCTACTACACCGACATCATCATCACACTCATCTTCTTCATCGTCATCATCACCAAGGGGAGGGGACCAAAAGTGGCCAAAGCGATAAGATGAACCCCTGATGACACGTTGCCCGGCTGTTCTCCAGCTTTGCTAGGAAGACGCATGTTCGCATGCGTGCGCGAAATACATGTCCTTGCTGCTGCCTGTGCCCCTCAAACAGTTCAGAAAAATTTCTGGGCTATTGCTTGGAACTGGGCCACCAAGGCCAGTAGGCCCATATTCACTTGCCAAACTGACCAAAAATTTTGCGAGTCTAAAAGGATGTCTTGACAAAGGAATTTTTGTTTCCATTCTTCACTGGCCAGGGCTTCGCTTCGTTTCCGTTGGGCCGCCATGGCATGACAATTTGACTCGAACTGGTTCTTGGGACCCTACCTTTATGATTCTGGTCATCTCCTTACATAAGCTTCGTCCGTTCCGCCTGTCCTTCTCATTGTTTTTGTTGCAATTGGGGTTCCTTGTGGGCATCCCCACACATTCTTTGTCCGTTGCGCCTGTCCTTCTCATTGTTCTTTTTGTGAGCGGCATTCCTTGTGGGCATTTTGTTTTAGTCTTTGTCCGTTTTGCCTGTCATTCTTATTGTCAAGAACATGAGACATCAAGGGGTTCAGGGAACGAGAAAACTTCTTGCCAGAATCTGCTCCAGGGTCCTTCGCATTCTTGGATGGCTTCTTGTCAGGGTGTTTCTCCCAACAATCTGAGGCCACATGGCCGCTCTTCCCGCAGTGTTTGCAGCGTTTGGCTTAGGGCACTCTGATTGCATATGGCCAAGATCTCCGCAGTTGAAACAAACCTTGCTTCTTATTGGAGAACCTTGGACAGCATGTGCCCTTTCAATCGATCCAGTTGCACGACTTCGGATGTAATACTCATTCACAGCTCGCCAAAGCTGCTGAACAGTCCCAGCACCGCTGATGAGTTGAATGTGTTCAGCTACCTTTTCAGCCTCAAAACATCGTTCGGGCAGAGATGCCAGTGGTCAGTTGGACATCAGAGTCATCCAGGGTCGAATCAGAGAGCGTGAGGGAATGGGGTATAGACTTGCGTTGTCAATTCACCCAAATGCCGTGGGTGCCCACACTCCCGCTCAGCAACTCTGGGCCGACCAGGACTTCGGAAAACCCATTGCAGGAACTGCCAGCAATCAAAGGTCACCCCTTGCTACCAGGGCTACCACTCTCACGGAACAGGAACAGAAAGAACTCAATCACAGCTGCCAAGAGATCCAAGTCTCCATCTTTTCCGGTTGAAACAATGCTGCGAGGAGGGTGTCGAGTGTGGTTCCCTTTCTGTCGTTCGCACGCCTCAAAACACCGTTCGGGCAGAGATTGGACTGGTGTGACAAAGCGCTTCTATCATCAACAGGAATCCTGCGCTTCTTGCAAGGAGCAGATGCCCATGTGCCTGCAAACTCTGGATTCTTTTCTTCCAGGATTCTTTTGAGCGCTTCAGGCGCCACGGTCTCGTACAGCCCTGGTAGCTCATTCGAAAGTTTGCCCATGCGCCTTGGAAGCCCAAAGAATCCAGCTTTCTCTTGAGAGCTGCGGGCGCCACGATATCGTTCCTGGGAGGGAAGGTGCTTGGGAACCGTGCCATTCGGAGAGGGGTGTGTGTGTGTGTAACCCTTGGAATCACAGGGAACCCTTGGGTTTGGAGCAGGAGACCAGGCCAGATACATCGTCGCCTGGTCAACGAAGCTGGCGATGTATCCGAGGATATGGAAATGGGACGCCTTTTTCACGTAGTCTACTCTATATAGGTTTGCAGGTAGGCCTCCTAACCTTGTAAAGGGGATCTTTAACCCGAACTTTGGCCTCTACCCACTAGAATTGGCCCCACCTTGGCTGTCTTGTGTGTCTTGTGTTTCTTGTAACCTGGTAGCGCTGGCCTCCAACTTGGTACCCTGGCCTCCAACCCACTAGCGACGACCTCCAACTTTGCTTCTTGCTGTCACTTTGTTTTGCTTTGGTTTGCTTGTGCCTACTATACCTACCACCTACTAGCGACGGCCTCCAACCTTAGGAGTCGGGCCCCAACGGCCTTGCGATGGCCTCCAACAAAAAAGCGATGGCCTGTAACCATCTACTTGTCATTTCTGTTGCGCTTGTGCCTATGGTCCACCACCTACTAGCGACGGCCTCCAACCTTAGGTCTTGGCCCCCAACAGCCTTGCGATGGCCTCTAACCAAAAAGCGTTGGCCTTTAACCTACTATTTGCCCTGGCGCCTCAAGTTTTTTAAAGCTTAGGCTGGCGTGTGGCGCCACTGTCCAGTCAGTACACCAAATCATAAGTGTGTCTCTCCTAGTGAGAGCCCGGGGTGAGCCCGCAGAGTGCCTCCCGTGGACCCGTCGAACAGGGGTTTGTCCATCGTCCCCCCTGTTCGGGAACGTACGCGTCCAGAGCGGACAGCAGGAGGCTTATGCCAAAGTTATTTGCCAAGACTTGTCTTATTTTTGAATTCCGAGCTGGCTCATGCTTGTACGTGACCGCAGCGGTCTAAGCAGCCAGCCATTTTGGCACGGCGTACGTGGCCGCAGCGGCCGAAGCTTGTTGAAGGTTCATTGGAACCTGTCGAGAACTTAGCCCCCCTTCCCTCCCCTCCCTTCCTTCTTTGCCTTCTGGGGGTATTCCTGAACTCAGGATCACCCCTCTCTCTCACTGGTGTGTCCCTGGACGTTTGTTCGTAGCTGGGAACCTGCCTTTTTCCTTCCTCTTTTCTCCCTCTCTCTCCCTTTCTGCTCATGGTTCTCTTAGTTTTGAATTCTACCTTTGAATCGCCCCCCGTGCAGGAGACCAAGCCCCAACCTGGGGAGAAAGATGAAAAGAAAAGGAAAAGGAAGAAGACACCAGCCACCGGCCCTTCCAACGCCACACCGTCTTCTGGGTCGAATCCTGCTCGTGGGTGTGCTCGCAGTGAAACTCGTAGCCGTGAGGTGGAGCCTCGAGTAAGGAGATTCACAAAGTGCTGTGCCTGGCACGAAATCTGCACATGGAGGTAGGTTTGGAGAAGCATGGAGGTTACAAAGTGCTGCGCCTGCCACGAAATCTGCACATGGAGGTTCACAAAGCGCTGCGCCTGCCAAATAAAACTAGAGCTAACTGGAGCTAGAGCTCTTGAAACTAGAGCTACCTGGAGCCAGAGCTATTGAAACTAGAGCTACCTGGAGCTAGAGCTCTTGCAACTAGAGCTAACTGGAGCTAGAGCTCTTGAAACTAGAGCTAACTGGGTGATGAGTGGTGTATGTTGAGTGGTGTATGATGAGTGGTGTCTGATGATATGACGACTGGTGTATGATGAGTGATGTATGATGAGTGGTGTATTGATGACTGGTGTATTGATGAGTGGTGTATGAGTGGTGTATGATGAGTGGTGTATGGTGAGTGGTGTATTGATGAGTGGTGTATTGATGAGCGATGTATTGATGAGTGGTGTATTGATGAGTG